ATCAGGAAAATGCTAATTAAATATGACACTATTTTCACCATCTGGCTGCAAAAGATGAAAAAGAATAGTAATATCTAATTAGTGATGGCAAAGGTACAAGAAAACCATATCCTGGTGGATGGAGTATAATTAATACAGCAGTTTTTCGGAGAACAGTTTTGTGTGTGCGAGAGTACAGTGAAGTAATTGGCATTTTGAATTACTCAAGCTTTGAATTACTCAAAATTAAAATATGGTGACATCAAAATATTAATGAAGTCTCATTTTATGAATAAAAGTTGAAATAATGCAAATCACCCAATTTGAAATGCTTTCCAAACTAGCGTAATTATAAAGGTCAAATAAATTATAGATGGCATTTGTGCTGTATCCCATGACAGGGCTACCCAAGCCAGCTAACAGAAGTTCCATCCTCGGTCAAGTTAGCCCTGAACTCTAGATTCAATAAAAAAAAAAAAAAAAAAAAAATACTCTGGGGTGCCTGGGTGGCTCAGTTGGTTAAGCGTCCAACTTCAGCTCAGGTGTTGATCTCACGGGTCATGGGTTCAAGCTCCACATCGAGCTCTGTGCTGACAACTCGGAGCCTGGGGTCTGCTTCAGACTCTGTGTCTCCCTCTCCCTCTACCCCTCCCCTGCTCATGGTCTGTCTCTCTCTCTCTCTCTCTCTCTCTCTCTCTTTCTCTTTCAAAAATAAATAAATAAACATTAAAATAAAATTTTTAAAAAATACTCAAAATACTCTATCAAAATTATAATGTACATTTCTTTAGTTCCAGTAATTCCAGGAGTTCTCACGTAAGTGTTCAAAGATAAATATGTCCCAGAATGTTCCCAAAGGCTTTTGAAAATGCCCATCAATTGAGGATTGTATATTTCTACAATAAAATACCATACAGTCTTGGAAAAGGACAAGGTACTTCTTTACGTATGCTCACGGAAAAATGTTCACAATATAAGTGCAAAAACAAATTAAGGAATGAAAGATTCTATTTCTGCAAACAAACACACACACAATCCCAAGCAGAAAGAATTCAAATGCAAAGAATGAAGTTATTTATAGTAGTTACCTCAGGGGAACAGAGCTTGGAGGAAGAGAGAAGGAATTTTCACTTGTCAAATTTTAAAAACTGTGATAGCCAGTTGGTACGTGTTCAGCAAATTCTAAGCACTTCATTCAATTACTCCTCATAAGGACCCTATGTGTGAAATGCTTTTATTATTTCCATTATCAACAGTTGAGGAAACTGATATCAAAAGAGACTAAACCCCCTGAATGGGGGGGTGGGGGAGGGTAGACCGAAAGAGGAAATCTTAAGCAAGCTCCAAGCTCAGCACAGAGCTGGACTAGGGGCTCGATCCCACAACCCTGGGATCATGACCTGAGCCAAAATCAGGTTGGATGCTGAACCAACTGAATCACCCAGGTTCCCCCATGAATGACTTTTTAAATAATAAACTTGTGAATTTTGTCCTTTAAAGATGGAAATCTAGGAGCAGCTGGCTGGCTCAGTTGGTAGGACACCTGACTCTTGATCTTGGGGTCATGAGTTCCAGCCCCCTGTTGGGTGTGGAGATACTTAAAAAAATTAAAAAATAAATGCAAATCTGGGGGGGGGGAACGTTCGGCAATGTTTTTTATTTTGCAATTTAGATTGTGACACATATCACTGTGGTAGGCAGCATAATGGCCCTGCCAAAGATGCCCTGTATCCTCATCTCCAGAAGCTGTGAATATGTGACCTTATATGGCAAAAGGGCCTCTGCAGGTGTGATTAAAGATCTTGAGAGGGATGCTTGGGTGGCTCAGTCAGTTGGGTGTCCGACTTTGGCTCAGGTCATGATCTCTTGGCTTTTGGGTTCCAGCCCCAAGTTGGGCTTGGTGCTGATAGCTCAGAGCCTGGAGGCTGCTTCAGATTCTGTGTCTCCCTCTCTCTCTCTGCCCCTCCCCCGCTCACACTCTCTCTCTCTCTCTCTCAAAATAAATAAACATAATAATAGTAATAATGAAAAAATTAAAAAAAGGTCTTGAGATGGGGAGATCACCTATCTCACATATCAACTGGATGGACCCAATTCAATCACGAAGGTCCTTGGGAAGGAAGGAGGGAGGCAGGAGGGGTAGAGTCAGCAGAGGAGGACATGTGACCACTGAAGGAGTGTCAGAGCAAGAAAGATTGGACAGGCCATCACTGGCTTTGAAGATGGAAGAAGAGGCCAGAAACCATGGAATGTAGGTGCCTCTAGAAGCTGGAAGGGGAAAGGAAACAGATTTTCAGAGCACCTAGTGGCTCAGTCAGTTAAGTGTCCAACTTCACTTCAAGTCATGATCTCATGGTTCGTGGGTTCGAGCCCTGCATTGGGCTCTATGCTGATAGCTCAGAGCCTAGAGCCTACTTCAGATTCTGTCTCCCTCTCTTTCTGCCCCTCCCCTGCTCATGCTCTGTCTCTCTCTCTCTCTCTCAAAAATAAACTTTTTTTTTAATGTAAAAAAGAAAAGGTAATGATTAATAAGACATGGTCCCTGAGCTTGAAAAACCATCTTAAAATTACCAGTCTGGGGGGGCGCCTGGGTGGCTCAGTTGGTTAAGCAGCTGACTTCGGCCCAGGTCATAATCTCACAGTTAGCGAGTTCCAGACCCGCATCAGTCTCTGTGCTGACAGCTCAGAGTCTGGAGCCTACTTTGGATTCTGTGTTTCCCTCTCTCTTGCTTCTCCTCCCCTGCTCGTGCTCTGTCTCTCTCTCTCTCTCTCTCTCTCAAAAATAAATTAACATTAAAAAAAAGAAAGAAATTTAAAAAAAAAGTGGACAGTCTTTCCCCAACATGATTCTTTTTAAACCACTAATGCATTTTATAAATACCTGCTGTAAAGAGGTTAACAAAGAAAGATGTATGCAATATCAGAAATTGAAGGCAATCAATCCAGACTTTCAAAGATTTAATGAAACAAAACAAGACAAAACCTACTCTCTGTCTAAAACAACAACTCTTACCCGTTATAATTTAAATATAGAATATCTTTAAGAGGGTTGATTATCAAAGATCCACCCAGAAGGTGTCTTTAAAAATAAGATTGATATACTTGATTTTTTGGCTCTCAGTGCTTAGTCCTGGCAATGTCTGAGGTTAGCTGTGGAGCCCTGGAAAACCATAGCATTCTGAGTCTCGTCTGTGAAATGGGGATAATACTCGTGATTTCACAAGGATATTGTAACAATAAAATGAGAATGCATATGTAAAAGGTCCTTGATATTAACTCCTAATGAAATAAAAATCTCTATAATGCCTTCTAGCTTTAAATTTTTATAATTAAAGGAAATTATTATTAGGGAGTTTAGTTAAAAGGAATCCTTTTTAAAGACACCTACTCAAGTAGTTTGGGATAAAATGATGTAACAATTGAGATTTGCTGCAAACGAATTCAGTGGGAACAGTGGCTTTGTGTAGAGGTTTGGCTATATTTTGAGTATTATTGAAGCCAGGTTATGGGTACATGAGAGTTTGTTAAAAACCATTGTTTGATTTGTATTTGAAATTTTCATACTGTGAAAAGCAAAACAGCAAAGACAATTCTATTTAGTCCACATGCTACCTAATTAAGGCTATTTCTTTTTCTTTTCTTTTTTTTTCTTTTTTTAATGTTTATTTATTGGGGGGGGGGGGGCAGAGAGATTGGGAGACAGAGGATCCGAAGAAGGCTCTGCACTGACAGCAGTGAGCCCAACACAGGGCTCAAATTCAAGGGCTGTGAGATCATCACCTGAGCCGAAGTTGGACACTCAACTGACTGAGCCACCCAGGCACCCCAAGGTTATTTCTTGAAGCAAACTTTGATATTTAAAAAAAATGGTAGCAAGAGATATAGATGTGCTGTTTTGAAGGGGCACATACACCTCAATGTTTATAGCAGCACTATCGACGATAGATGAAGTATGGAAAGAGCCCAAATGTCCATCGATGGATGAATGGGTAAAGAAGATGTGGTATACAATGGAGTATTACTCGGCAATCAAAAAGATTGAAATTTTGCCATTTGCAACTACGTGGATGGAACTAGAGGGTATTATGCTAAGCGAAATTAGAGAAAGACAACTATCATATGACTTCACTCACATGAGGACTTTAAGAGACAAAACAGATGAACATAACGGAAAGGAAGCAAAAATAATATAAAAACAGGGAGGGGGACAAAACAGAAGAGACTCTTAAACATAGAGAACAAACAGAGGGTTGCTAGAGGGGTTGTAGGAGGGGGAATGGGCTAAATAGGTAAGAGGCATTAAGGAATCTACTCCTAAAACCATTGTTGCACCATATGCTAACTAACCTGGATGCAAATTAAAAAATAAATCATTGGGGCGCCTGGGTGGCGCAGTCGGTTAAGCATCCGACTTCAGCTCAGGTCACGATCTTGCGGTCCGTGAGTTCGAGCCCCACGTCAGGCTCTGGGCTGATGGCTCAGAGCCTGGAGCCTGCTTCCGATTCTGTGTCTCCTTCTCTCTCTGCCCCTCCCCCCTTCATGCTCTGTCTCTGTCTCAAAAATAAATAAACGTTAAAAAAAAATTAAAAAATAAATAAAAAATAAATCATTAATAAAAATGTAAAAAAATAAAACTGAAAAATGAAAAAAAATGGTAGCAATTTTAAATGCAAAATGCATAAACATTCAAGGATTTGAGAATTTGATTACATTTTCACATAAGCTTTTAATTGATTTTTAACTAAAGGAAACCTATTATAATTAAATGCTACAGCAAAAAATTACATTTACGCAATTTGAGATTATTAGTGGAATGAACACGTTAACCTATAGAACCTTAAACACTTGGGGGATTTTTCCCAAGAGAAGTTTCAAGGTATGTTAACAATTTTCTGTCTTTAAGTACATAATTACATATCAATAGTTCAAATGATGATATGTTGGATATTTCTGCAAGAAAATCTATCACTATTGTAAAGAGAACTTAGCAGTAAGTATATACAATGTGCTCCCTTTCTGACCTTGGAGGTGGGAGTTCTCTAGGAACTCTTCGTGAGTGTCTTTTGCTTCTCCAGGCTTTGCTGATCGATGCTCACTCCTCAGAGAGATCTTCCACCATCTAAAGATTACCTGTGATTGGATAGAAGGGGAGAGAAATTAAAGCCGATCTCAATACCAACAGCTACACTTCGGTCTGGGATTTTGAAAACTCGTGGCAGTAGGCACATAAGGCTGTGTGTCCAACATCAGCTATGACTTTGCAATCTAGCATCACATCAAATTAGAAAGGAGGTCTGTGCATCTCACATTTCCCTTAGAGATCAGGGTCACAAAATCAAAGTGCTGGAAGGCATCTTAAAAATCTATCAAGTCGGGGCGCTGGTGGGGGCTCAGTCGGTTAAGCGTCCAACTCCGGCTCAGGTCATGACCTCACAGTTCGTGAGTTCGAGCCTCACTTCCGGCTCTGTGCTGGCAGCTTAGAGCCTGGAGCCTGCTTCAGATTCTGTGTCTTCTTCTCTCTCTGCCCCTACCCTGCTCACACTCTCTCTCTCAAAAATAAGCATTAAAAAAATTAAAAAAAGAAAAATCTGTGAAGTCAGTGGATGTTAAACCACACAGACCCAGATGGCTATCTGTCTCTTGAGGATCTCTGAGTAGAGAGATCCTCTAACTTGGGGAGCCAGTTCCAAAGTAATTGCTCCGCTCCACTCTCTGCCTCCCTTCCTGTCTATGGGGCAGACCGGATGAGTGGATATTTTACTCATAGAGAAAGGACAGTTACACGGCCAGGGCTGGGGAAAGCACCATTGTGCTTTGTTTGATGTGTGTAAGTGTCATTACGTAACCAGGACACTTCTTGGTAATGGATCTGCCCATAGTCCATTTGTCTTCTACGAGCATGGTGGTTTGTTTGAAGCAAACCTCATTTCCCTGGTTACGAAACCCACCTAAGTTCTATGTTGATTTCATGGCAGTGTCAGCCCTTGGCCCTAATGAGGAGCCCCGTGAAGCTTATTCAATTTATCTCACGGTTTTCAACCTGTCATGGAACTCGGTAGTTAATTGAGATCGTAAAACTTCCACCAAACAAACCAGCTTCTTTCTACACTTAGATGAGGGCTTTGGGGGAAGAGATGGGTTAGGAGACAGTGCGGAGAAACTGGTTGGCTTCCTCTCTCCCTAGCATGGCCACGTGAGGTTAAAATTGGAGTCAGGAAGACTCTGCCCAAGGCAAAATTGCTAAAGCAGGTAAAGCTTGCTATGGGCCCTCCCTTTATTTATTTCCTCTCCCCTATCCCCACCCACCCATTGCTCCCTGGGGTCCTCACAAGTCTTGGTGTATCTTTTTGGGGCCACTGTGAGGAAGAGACACTCACAAAGAGTTCCTAGAGAACTCATCCCTACTAGTTCTTTGGCCCTTCTTGGTTGTTCTGGAACCACCCCCCCCCTCCACCCCCACCCCCAGCCTTTGAACTGCCAGACCTTCTCCTTGCTTCTTACTCCTTGCCCCCTTGCTTACAGGCCTGGGCTTCAGCCAGCTTTCCTCTCCTTCTAGAGCTGCCTCCCTGCGTCCTATCATCTCCTGAGGCTCATCTCCCACCTGTCTCCCCTTCCCTGATATCTGAAGGATAACTGCTATCTCTCAGGAACATGGAGATGTGCTATGCCACCCTACCTAGCACCCTGCCCAACAGCAGGTAGGTCCTTTAAAGGGTTACTGTTCATTTGGATGTTGTGCTGATTGCTATAGATAAGGGGGAAAGAATGTGTGCGTTACAAAACTCTAAAGTCTTGGGGCGCCTGGGTGGCTCAGTGGGTTAAGCGTCTGACTTCAGCTCAGGTCATGAACTCTCAGCTGGTGAGTTTGAGCCCCGGCGGCTCCGGGCTGACGGCTCAGAGCCTGGAGCCTGTTTCAGATTCTGTGACTTTGTCTCTCTCTGCCCCTCCCCTGCTTGTTCTCCATCTCTCTCTCTCTCTCAAAAATAAATAAACATTAAGAAAAAAAAAAAAAAAAAGAAGTGGTGGGTTGTCTCTCCCTGTGGCCATACCACCAGGAGGTATGTTACAAGGAAAGCGAGTCTCAGATTGAATTCTGCCATGTCACCAAGCAGGCACAAAAGTCCAAACTACGTTTCTGGAAGGTCAGTGGAGTCCCGTCCTCGCCAACCACTGGGGCACTGTGCGGGAACCTTCACGGGAAAGTTTCTCTCTGCTACAAGCACACCTATGTTACAATGACATAATCAGCCACAGTTCTAGCCAGATCACACAACCAAATCCTTAGTTAGGTGGACAATTCGGGAACAGATGGAGTTCTAGACCAATCACTACTCCAGCAATGTTATACAACCAAGCTTACTTCTTAACATTGTTCAAAAAAAGGCGGAGAGATGCATAGAGTTGTTGAATCACTGTATTGTACTCCTGCTATGAATATAACAGTGTGTGTTAACTACTCCGGAATTAAAGTAAAATAAATAAATAACAAAACATTTACTTATTTTTTTTATGTGTTATTTATTTTTGAGAGCAAGAGAGACAGAGCACGAGTGAGGGAGGGGCAGAGAGAGAGGTAAAGACACAGAATCCGAAGCAGGCTCCAGGATCCGAGCTGTCAGCACAGAGACCCCACGCAGGACTCGACCTCACCGAACCGAAAGATCATGACCTGAGCCGAAGTCAGACGCTTAATCGACGGAGCCACCCAGGCGCCCCGATAACAAAACATTAAGAAAGGCAGAGAGACACTTGTTCAATCTTATTTATCAGCCTCGTATCTTGCTTGTTACTCATTTGTTTCATCAGTGAAAAATTATTTCCAACATTTAGTATACTAATTCTTCAACCCTCTGGTACTGATTTAGAAGGCCACATTTGAAGTGCTTGCCAATAATGGCCTCTAGAGGGAGAAGCCTCAGGGCACAAACTCAAGTCAACTTGCACACAAATCAGCATCCTACGGCTCCTCTGACGTATCTGAAGTGAATTACTGAGAATGTAACACTAGCCTAAAGAAAGACGACTGGTTAGACCCAGAGTCCAAGCCTCCTCCCTTAGAACTCATAAACATAGGGTTTGTTCTGAGGCCCGAAGCTTTCTTCAAGTATGACCTTTATCCTACAGTCATTGGGTCATCTCTACAGGGCAGTACATAAAAAGCTAATATTCAGAATCACTACTTAGCTTTGTCAAGACTCGCTTATGTTCCAAATGTTGTACTTATTAAAACAGAAAATTATGGTAGATATTTTCTACCACTTATTGTCTTTCAGATTGGTAAAGGTTCCCTTCCCCTCCCTTCCCTTCCCTTCCCTTCCCTTCCCTCCCCTCCCCTCCCCTCCCCTCCCCTCCCCTCCCTTCCCTTCCCTTCTCTTCCCTTCCTTCTTTTTTTAAGAGACAAAGGAAGAATAAAGCCCTTAATAATCATTGAGAGAGGTGTGAATTGGTTTGGCAAATACCTATCAAAAGGCCATTCATGCCTTTTGACCCAAACATTCTACTTGTTAAGAATGTATCCTTTGTTGGGGCACCTGGGTGGCTCTGTTGATTAAGTGTCCAAGTCTTGATTTTGGCTCAGGTCATGATCTCATGGTTCTTGAGCCTGAGTCCCACATTGGGCTCTGCATTGACAGTGTGGAGCCTGCTTGAGATTCTCTCTCTTTCCCCCTCTCTCTGCCCTCCCTGCCTCTCTCTCTCTCGCTCTCAAAATAAATAAATAACTTTTTTTTAAAAAAAGAAGTTATCCTGAGGAATTTGCCAGAAAATGTGTATAGCATTTTCCATGTGTTTGCCATAGGTTAATTATGACAATGAAAAATCAGAACTGACCTAACGGTTTGCCAGCTGGGACTAATTAAATAATGATGGCACATTTAGATGATGGAATATTTCACAGCCAATAAAATATTATGTGAAAAAATAACACAGAACAATGCTAATGATGATTTGTTAAAAGGCTCACAAGTGTATACACCACTAATCCAAATATTGAAAGGAAAGTATTTATACATGCAGAGGGAAGGAACATCAGAGTGGGAGCAAATATAACATGCCAGATGGAGTTTGAAGGGAGCGGAGCTATGAGGTATCCCCAAATACTTGTGAACTGATTGCTACTTATTAGCTAGATATTAGCTCATCAGCTCATTTTAGCTCATATATTCATACATAGCTATTGTCACGTATTTAACTCTATTTTGAAAATGTTCAAGCCTATAAATATTGTTTTAAGCATCTTGTTCTTATTAACCGTGCATGTTTTGTTAACGAACATGCAAGAAAAGCTGCTGAGGGGCTTACGCTGGTTTTTGCAAGTTGAGATATGGCTGTCACATGGGCTTCACTGTCCTCTCCCCGGGTCCCCTGAATCTCCCGACTGCCTGTGAGCAGTACACGACTGTCTTTTTATGAATGGAGAAACCCACCGTGGACAGCTGAGATAACTCACATCCGTTTCTGAGGCTCGGGGAATCTTCTGGTGTCGCCCCGTCTCCTTCTCATACAGGGCCTCATACCCCGCTCCAGGAAGGATGGGCAGGCAGCCTCCTCAGAGGATACGCACCAGGATTTGATATCTTAGTAGAAAACACGTGATCGCTGGCAGAATTCTTTAACATTTTAATTTATATATAGCATGTTTTTAGACTTCTATATATTTCCAGTATATCTTTGTATTATAAACTTGGACATTGAGCTTACTTTGTTGTCGTTGTTGTTTTAATGTTTATTTATTTTGAGAGAGAGGGAAAGCAGGGGGGACAGGGCAGAGAGAGGGAGAGAGAGAACCCCAAGCAGGCTCTGCACTGTGAGCCTGTCATGATCTCATGAACCGCGAGATCATGACCTGAGCTGAAATCAAGAGTCGGACGCTCAACCGAAGGAGCCACCCACGTGCCCCTGAGCTTACTTTGAAAAGAGAGGTCAAAGATTTCTCATTAACCCCCTGGCATCTCTCCTTCACCGGTTACGAAGGCAAGATGAGGAGGCATTTGTCGTTCATCTGGTGAAGGCCCCTAAACATTAGGTCCTTTCCACACTGGGACAGCAACTCACTAGGCAGCCCTTGAGGGGACACGGGAAAAAAAGTGGACCCAGCTGGGCACCTCAGCATCTGAGTATATTTGGACAAG